CAGGGCGGTCGCCCCACCCACGCGACGGCCCTGTGTGCAGGTTTTATTTGTATTTTGAAAATATTTATGTTTGGGTCAAAAATGGAGATAAACTTTCCTTATGGAGATTAAACACGGGGCTAATTTTTAAGCTTATGATAGCCACCTTGACCATACTACTGGACCGATTTACACGCGGTTGGTACCAAATGAAAGGTAATTGTCCGTATATTTGCCCATTTTGCTTTGATTTCAGATATTACTCAACTAATTGTTAAAAAACAGAAATTAAAATCTCTATTGACAATTTAACATAGGGTAATAGCCTATATTAAGTGTGAGATCTGGGGTTCTATTGGACCCATTTACAAGCAGGTTGTGTTAATGGGACTGTGACTGAAAAAATGATCGAAAATTGTAAATTATTTCTTATCCTTTTTAAGTAATTTTTATTTTATGTTTTGTTATTGCTGTTAACAGATATGTATTGAAACACGATATGCCCATTTTCTACTGAAATATAACAAAAAAAGCGAGTCCGCTATACGACAAAGTAGCAGAACAAGTGTTGTGTGCAATCCCTTTTAAACCATGTATGTTTCCAGTCAATCTGAGGTTTTTCACCCATGAGGATTGTGTTATGGCTTGGAACAGCTCAATATCGATTGACATTAAACCATGCACGAAAAAATCGCTGTTTAGCTGTAATAGACTCACCACTTCTCACGAAACTGTCATAGCCAAACAATCGACGTTGCAAGTCCTACTGTTCAATAGTGACTGAGTTAATGAAATGGCGTCTTGTGTAGAGCAGAACTTTGCCCACCACGACCACCTCCCACCACCGCACTCTCAGTACTACGCAGATCAAAACCGTCTGTCTTCCGTGTGTCACCCTGTAGTTCATGGTTTGAATGTTGATCGAGTCATTCTAACAGTACAGGACAAAGATTGCTTAAAATTTAACAACAGCTCTACACTTTATGATTCCATTGCTAGATAAAGTATTTTAAGTTTTGATGTAACATTAGACGATAAGCATGAGAAGAGCCGATTTACGGATTATTAAATCGTTTGTCTGGTATGTGAACTGCCACCACATTGGCTAATACAAAAAAATCGGTGGTAGTGTTGATAAGAAATTTAGACATATCAAATAATTGATCAATTACTTTAATGGAACCTAATTAATGAAAACTTTTTTACGTAATATCATTCGAGACTGTGAGGTTATGACTGACCTCGTTTTGAGTTGTAGACCTAAACAACGAACTCTAATATCAAAATTAGAGGGGGTGAGTCGGTGGCTCAGTTGGTAGCGTCACGGACTTGGGGCCTAAGACAGCAATTTCGTGGGTTTGGATCCTGGTCACTGTCGCAAACATTTTATCAGTACCTACAGTTCACCTTTGTAATGTACCGGCTCACCCCTTGCTTTGCGGGATACGTTCCACGCACAGATCTGTAGTCTATGTGGACGGGCAAATGCCGCCAACCACTTAAAAAAAATAAAAACAAAGTAAATTTAAATTCATTAGACAAAATGCTGCTATTCCATATCCAAAGAACTAAATTTTTTTGTAATTTCAGCTTTAGCTATGACACTAATAAAGCCAGGGTCAGTTCATAGCACGAATACTTGAACAGACACGGTATGAACAAATTAAACGGTAATATAAACAAATTATGTTACTGGCCTAAAAATAAACATTATTTAACATTGCTTAAATTGGAACTGCCAAAACACATATTTTAATGCTATTAGTATAGGATTCGGGCTGAGGGGGGACCAGCTGGTGTAGTGGTTAGAGTGCGGGACTTTTATGTTTACATATTTAACATTAATTGGAGAATTTAAACCTTCCCTTGTTGAGTGCACACGTGTGCTGCGATTGGGGTTTAATATATTTGGACTTATTCAAAAGTAAAATAGTTTTCTGTGCTGCACTCTGTAGAAACATTGTGGCACCATTTCAAATCATGACTAATACAGAATGTTGTGATTATTCAAACCTACAAAACAGTTGGTGAAAGTAAACATCTGCTTTTAAATTATATGTATTTGTAAACATTGTAGTTCAAAAAGTCTGACATTTGCCCACGTAAAACCCTCTGGGGCGGAGCCCTTTTGGCGGATCTGCACCAAACTTCACACAAACCATCCTTGTAAGATGCTTAATAATGCCTGAAAGTTTCATTACAATCTGTCGAGCGGTTTCGGAGTCCATTACGTACATACAAATATATAAATATACATACATACATAGTTCTTCTTTTATAGATATAGATTTCACTGGTACAGTTGTCAGACATTAAAATGATTTGGCCTAACCAAAAACCATGGCAGCCACTGTAAGGTTTTGAGGTTTTTTTAAGGTTTTTTTTGTTCATTTTATAAGTTTGATGTTAGTTTTGACAAGATAAATCATTAATAATTAGATTGAGAAAATTATAAGCTTTTTAGCACCTTTAAACCAAGGCAGCAAAAAAATAACATAATTGTATCATTTACATGGTAGAAATATTTTATTAATAATTCTAAAATAATTTTCAAGGCCTGTTTTTAAAACCTTTTTATTAGCTCGCTTTCTTGTCTGGTACAAATTTTGCAATCTATTTTATACTAACATTTTCCAAAATTATTAAAAGTTGCTAAGGTTGTGCCTATTTTCAAAAAGGGGGACCCTCAGTGCGTAGAAAACTATCGACTAATATCACTTTTGCCAGTTATTTCAAAATTATTTGAAAAGGCAATGAAAATTAGGCTAGTGTCTTTTATAGAAAATAACAACCTTCTATTTAGTGGCCAACTTGGTTTTCGCTCAGGCAGATCAACAATTACAGCTGCTTCAAGTTTTTTTGAAAGTATAATAAATTCAATTGATTGCCACGAAAATGTTATAGGAATATCAATGGACCTTACGAAGGCTTTTGATAGGGTATGTCACCAAACTCAAACTAGAAGATATGGGAGTAAGAGGTCACATTTTGTCGTGGTTCAAATCATATTTATCGGATAGAAAGCAATACGTTGAAATCATGTCTAATAAAAATAATTGGCTGGTAAAAAACAGATCAGAAATAAAACTTAATCACTTTGGTGTCCCTCAGGGTTCAATACTAGGCCCTGTTTTATTCCTTTGCTATGTCTTATCTATGTAATATCAATACTTTGAAAACAATATATCATTCTCTTGTCCATAGCCACATTTCATACGGTATATCTTTATATGGAGCTACAACATTCTACAACTAAGAAAAATCTTACTCGAATCTTAAAATTACAGCAAAGGGCATTGAGAACAATGATGGGACTAAAAAATGATGAATGTGTTAAAATTCATTTCAAAAATTTTAAAATACTAACTGTGTTTGCCCAATACATTTTTGAAACTGCTCTCATTGCGAAAGAAAGTATATCAGATAACGCACAATTATGCTACAATACAAGAGGAAAAGCCCTAAGAGAAAATAGTCACAACCATCTTTTATTTTCAAATAAAAAGCCCACCTGTGCCGGAAGAAGGTTTTTACCGTTTCTTCCAAATCATTTAAAACCCATTGGCAACATCAAATTTAAAAACAAATTAAAAAATTATCTCATAGAAATCGCTCCTTACTCCATTAAAGAGGTGTTTCCCCAATTAAACTGATTTTATTGGTAGTTTCTTAATATTATATCAATTGTAATTTTAGCTTATAACTGTATTTACTAGGTTAGGAATCTGACACTATTCAATGTACAATGTACAATTATTGAATAAAGATATTGAAATGAAATGAAATTAAATGAAAATTAGCATCCGCCCCACGTTTTTTGTTTTAAATCTTACAAGTATTATTATTCTCTCAAAATATTTATAAATTTTTTTATACTTTTTAGTGCGTTTAAAAACGTGGCATTTTTAAAAAGTATTTTTATTTATAAATTAGTTACACTTGCAGGTGTTTAAAAAAATTAATAAACATGATTTGCGATTGAGGAATTCCTTTGAAATTACAGCAAAATGTGCGCAATATTTCAAAATTTATTATAAAAAAACTTCTCTTATAAAGTTACATTCAATAGAATATTTAAAAATAAATACCCCCACCACAGCAAACCTGCAGACTAAGCAAATTTCCATTTGCCTGATTGGATTCACACTAAAATGCCTCCTTAAATATATCACATTTATTCCCTACTTAAATAGAATTAGTTTAACGAGTACTTAGATTTGCTGCAACAGGGAGGATAAAAAAGTGTTTTTTGTTGTAAAATGTTAATAGTTTAGTAAGGAATGAATGTATTTTACAAATTCGATCAAAATATGTTCATAAATAAGCAAACTACAACAGTTGACTTATTATCCATAAGAATAACATGGGAATTTTAAATTTAAGCTCTACAAAATGGTTCGAAAAGAAATTGTGAACTTTTGTCACATTGTCACAAATTGTGAAATTTTTTTAGGTTCAAAAATGGGAAATCCCTATTTTTACCCCGTAAAACCCCCTATAAACCCCCGTTCCCATAGTCCGATCATGCTGGTTCGCGAACTCCTTCGAATAAATGTAGGTTTACACGTGTATAGCAAATTGCATTGAAATCAGATCATTTTTGCTCGAGTTGTCGTGCTAACGGACACATATATATATATATATATATATATGAATTCAAACGGATGGTGTTTTTGGCCTCTAGGGGCCTCAAAACGAAAAAATAAATCGGTCCCGGGTCCAGGTCTTACCACGAGTACTACAGTAATAGCTTATTTCCTATATGGGAAATTCGCTAATAAAACTGAACTTTTGTCTCATTGTGACCAATCTTCCTATTAATCAGACAAATAGAAATTTGCTTACTCTTTAGGTTTGCTGTATTTGAGGTATTTGTTGTTAGCTCTTAGATAATTTAATAATGATTCACTCAAAATTTTGCAAACTAAATGTGGAAATTACAATGTCATATTGCTGGAATATGTTTGGTAGGACCTTAATCATGGTTATTTTCACCAGCACATATATTGTCTCATACACAGGCAGTAGTTGCCGCGTCAGTGCTGCCAATGTCCATCATCATCGTGGGAGTCGGCAATGCAGACTTCACTGCCATGGAGACCCTGGACGCTGACACAGTCGCTCTGAGCCACGGCGGAGTCAAGGCTGCTCGTGACATTGTACAGTTTGTACCATTCAACAAGTTTGTCACAATGGGTGATCCGCACACTGCTAGGCTGCGACTGGCACGTGAGGTGCTAGCTGAGATTCCCACTCAGTTTATCGGTTACATGAAAGCTAACAACATCACTCCCAAGCCTCCCCTCGCTAACATCACCTTGCTCCCACCTGATCCCGAACTGTTAGATTCTCAGACATAATCTCATATTGTCTCGTCTGCTGTTGTTTGTTGACTTTTTGAATTTTATACTTTGTTATTTTGTAATTCAATGTGTTGCGCTATTGTTGTGATAACAATTTGAGTGGCCTATTAGCGCTTTGTTTGTTGGGTTCCGAAAATCCACTGTGGACAATTTATAGGACGTCCTAAATATGTATAAGTAGTAGATATTTTATCTACTTTTTCACACATCTTTATATTTCTATGGATTTTGGTCATTCCATTTTAACCTACTTGTCTAATTTTTGCTATCATAACCTACACCATTATAGAGATTACAAAAAAAAATAAAAAAAAAAAAATAGCAGTATCAATTGAGATTTCCACACTTTCATTTAATTGACACCTGCTGAATTCCAGGGAAAATTGTATTTGAGTTGACTCATTATTTTAAGCCACACCACTGAAGTGAAGTAGTCAGATTAAGAGAAAAATTACCCATGTAAGACCCAAAATTGTGTTTACTTCATCTGAAATGAGAAAAGGGTTTTAACAGTGCACTTCCTTTTGAGTCAGCAATTAAAATAGTTCAACATACTAAGAATTGAGTCTGCATTAATTTTTTGCCAACATGGTAAAAGTGAGGCCTGCGTGAATGAAATCGAAGCAAATAACAAATAACTCAATAGAATAGCTAAGACTTTTGTGAACTGCTTGCTGTTTTACATACTAAAATTTATGTAATTGATATCATATTTTATTTTCATGCCAATAATAATTAATTGTTTTTGTTCCTGACAAAAAATATATAAAATATTGAATATAATAAAGTAATGTTACTTTTCTTAAAAATTATATCATAGTTCAGCTTGCAGACCTAGATAATATAATAATTAGGTTGGTTAAGAGTTCCTTAAAATAAAAATAAAAAAACAAGTTAGGTCTATGAATTAATTGTAAACTTCTTAATATTATCACTACATAATGTAACTTAACACATTAGCTACCAATTATACTCATACCTCAGTCACAGAGGAGTGTGACGGTTGGTAGGGAACGTGTTAATGTACCAGTTAAAATGTTTGTGTTGTTGATGGGTTCATTAAGATTATATTCTCTATTCATTGTTTTTTTATTTTTGATCAGCGATTTGATTAACTTATCATCACTAGCCACAAGTGTTGTAGAAGTTATTCCTTGCCATAAATGTTGAACTATTTGTACCTTTCACATGTAATAGCATGATGTTGTATCAGAATCTATACTTGTGTGTACAGTCTGTAGTATGGAATGCAGTTGTAAAGAAAATACTTTGCATAGGCTTAATCCAAAACAAAATAAGTATTCAGATCAAATCTCAAATTTCTCATCTTTGAAGCAAATAGGCTACTCATTTTATTGGATGTTTGCTTAAGTGTTTTTGTATGGTTAAACACATGGAACTATCTATTGTATCTAACTACTTGTCCTTTCACTGTGTACTCAGTATCTGTGTACCATTTCTGACAATCTCCCTCGTATGTTGCATATTCTCTATACTCTTTCTTAATATAAATATTACTGTACAGTTCATGATGAATGTTTCATGTATGGAGTTTTAAGATATTTCTTTACATTACCTAACCCATGATTTATGTAGTTAATAAATAATTTCTGCTATTTTAATCTCTTTTAGTGTTACATAAAGTTCTTGTGGTGCTAATTTGCTATATCACTATTTTTGTTAAAACTCAACTTTCAATAAATCATGCGAGATAAAAAAATCCCTTAAAACCGTTAACCAGGTATTTATTATAAGTTTTTACTAAGAATTGTAAATCAGCCATATTTACTATTAATTTAGCCAGTTTAGTTTTATTAAATAATCGTTTTGTCAAGAACGTAATCTAGCCATATCTCAGGTTTTGAAATAATATGCCTTAAAACAATGCTGTGTTTATCTGCACAAATAGACAAGGTATCTGATAGTGTAAGCTAAGTACTCGTAACTGTGGTTGCATCATAAGGACACCGTTAATTTGACAGATGGTATACATCGTCGATAGGAGACAAACTCAAAATCGGTAAATTGTACACCTAAGCACAGTAAAAGTACAAAAGTAGGTTTTAGTTGTTTTTTTTAATGTAGGGAACTAGATTTAAAAAAATAACTAATCAAACGACTTGTGTATAATCGACTAGGTAGGAAATTACTTCTTGTATAGAAACAGCAATGCAGAATCTTTATCTGTCATCGAAGAAATTATTCATAACGACAGTAGAAAGTGATTCATTACATATTTGAGACCATATGTTCAAATATGTACGTAATGACTCACTTTCACTCATGTTTTGAATGTTACTTATCGCTGCACTATAAAGACTAATTATTTTTTAAATATAAAATTTATATTGGAATATTTCTTTATTACAGTTAGGAACATTTAAAAACTAACAGCATTTTTTAGGTTATGCATTCTATTTAAAGTTCAACTTACTTTGATTGTACAGTTTTGGATGTTGCAAATTGAAACAGTTGATGTAACAATAATAAATGTTTGTTTTTTTATGTCGGAGGAACCCAATAAAAGATACTTTTGCATAGTAAACATTCTTTTTACGCAGTAAACAATGTAATGATGGATTTTTGCAGGTGATAAACAAATAACGAAAACAGGTGATTTAAAAGTAGTGTAGCAAATAATTAGTTTGTATATTTGTAACAATTGATTTTGTTTGTCATGATGGTAATCATTGCTAATATTTTCAGTTCATGAATAGTCTTTGAAAATGATGATACGTGTTAAGTTTATGTTTAGTTGATTTGTTTGGTAATCTAAAGCTCTTAAATGTTATCATAAAAATGTCTGTGATGTGTAGTTTATAACCACATAATTTTAACCCATCATTCATATTAAGTTATACCTACCATCTACCATCTAGATTCAATTCATTATACAACATTATACATCTAATAGAATTATGGCTCAACTGTTAAATATTTACAATTAATTAGTTGGTCTATCTAGCTCATACCTTTTATAAAATTAAGATTGAGTACATTTAACTAGTGGGAATTTTTTCAATAAATATAAAATACCCCCACCGCAGCAAACCTGCAGAGATAATTTGTTTTTATTATCTCTGTAACCGTTAGGCATACAACAACGCTATACACAAAATAATTTCTTTTCTTAAGCTCTACAAAATTGTTTGGAAAGAAATTGTAAAATGTTGTGTTTTAGGGTAAAAAAATGGGAAACAACAATTTTTACCCCATAAAACCCCGTTGCCATAGTCTGATAATGCTGGTTCGCAAACTTGTTCAAATAACTTGTTAAATAGGTTTAAACGTTTGTACTAAATTTTATTAAAATATAATTATAGGATATTTTTTTTATGTATAAAATAAAATCATTTTTTTGCTCGAGTTATCGCGCTAACGGACACATATATATATATATATATGAATTTGAACGGAGGGTGTTTTTGGCCTCTGGGGACCTCAAAACTAAAATGTAAATCGGTCCCGGGTCTAGGTCTGACTATGAGACCTACGGTATTACTCTCTTTATTACTCGTTATACTTTTTGTTTAGCCCTTTAAAATACAGTCCAACCTCAGTATAACGAATCTGAAGGGACCGAACTGAATATTCGTTATATCAAGGGTTTCGTTAAAACGAGGTTCGTTATATAGAGGTTATGTTTGCAGGAATTTCGCTAAGTCGAGGTTCAGAACCAGCGTCGGTCAATATAGGTCGGGATTAGACGTCATTAAAACACAATTTAAAGTAGCATAGGCTACAATACTTTACAGTACAGTGTTTACATTGTACAGTAGAACCTAAATAATCCGGCATAATAAAGGGGAGGGATCTTGAATATTGCGCAATCATGACAATGGCATTGACCTTGGTACAGGTTAAAAAACTGTAAGTTTAAAATCACAGCTTTTTCTAACCCTCCTAAAACCTAGCCAAACACTGTATTGCGTAGTCATAAACCATGTAAAGAACAAAACAAAACAGTAGTAGAAAGTTTTGTAAGCTACTGCTCGTGATAGGCCGGTAGGCTAGTTACAGTACAGTACTGATTTATCACAACAGAGGAATGTCAATAATAATCATTAACTATAGCATTGGTGTTGCTAGTTGAAACAAATCATATTGAAAACAATACAGTAAATCATTAGATAAGACATTATAAAAGTGTATAATCATAGCCAACTTAAAGATAATAAAAACACTCGAAAAAGGAATGTTAAAATAACGATGTTGCTATTCTTTCTCTTTGGTTTTGTTTTTATATTCTTTCTTAGGTTTCTCTTCATCCAAAAGCTGTACAATTCACCATAGTTACTTATCGCCCAATCACAGCTTACTAAACATTACATCGTCATCAATCCTCAGTGAATGAAATCAGTTCTCACTTCTCAGTTGCAACATAGCGCGCGCAGGGAAAGCAGACAGAGATGTGTAAAACCACGTAAAACGGAGCAGACAAATGTTAGCGCAAGCGATGACATCACCTTTCCATTTCATTTGATAAAGAAACAGATTTTTCAAAAACAATAAAGGGGTGGGGGATTTGTTATATCGAGGGAAAGACGTAGACAATTCGTTATGCAGAGGTTAAATTCGCAATGTAGAGGTTCTGACAATGATAAATTCGCTATATTGAGGTGTGTTATTTTAGCCGAAATCACGAAAAATTCGTTAAATCAAGGTGGTTGTTATGGTTTGTTCGTTATGTAGAGGTAAAATATACATTGTGTCTTATGGAGAGTTCTAGGGGATTTAAAAAAATTTGTTATATCAAGGAATTCGTTGTATCGAGGTTCGTTATATCAAGGTTAGACTGTATTCAACATCATATTTTAAACAACACTCCTCAACTTTCCATAAATAGCCAGTTTAGGTTGAAAATTTTCATTCATTTCACTTCACAGACACAATATTGATTTTACTATTTTCAATCTTAATCATAAATAATTGTTGTTTACAAGCCAATGTCATGGTCAGATAGTATGTTGTTACACTAACCCAATAATAAAAAAAATCATGATAGGATATAACTGAGTTACTTTTTAACCAATTACCTATTACATTTTATACAACTATAATGATTTGATTAATGCCATTTTGTCTTTCATATAGAGTGTAAAAATCAAAGATCAATAGAATTTTCTACTATTTCCTATATTGAAGGAATCCTTTTTTGACCCTAAAAACATACAATTTTGCAATTTCTTCTTCGCTTATTCTGCAGGTTTGCTTCGGCAGGGTATTTTATTATAGAAACTATTTAGAGAGTATATTGTATCTTCAGATATTTAATACTAGAACTTTCTGTCAATAATTTATTTTCTGATTTTACCTGATTCAAAGGGGATCCTGATGGTACGAGAACAAAATCTTGGGTCGATCATCACAGAATAACTAGTAGTTTTAGCGAATTTCCCATATAGCGATCAAGTTTTTTGTTATTGCAGCAGATCAAAATAATGTTATGAAATCACTCTTGTTGCCCCAAATGTGTTGTTCTATATTTTTGTAGTCCTTAACAACTTGGTAGTCTGAACTCATCAATCTCTAATAACTCAACGACATAAAAATTCATAGTATTCATTCTTATAGCCCCTGGACTACGTATACATGTATATGTATATGACTTTATAGGCTTATCTCTGTCAGTAGTCCTAAATTGTGTCCAACTTCAATATTATTATTCAAAGCTGACATGTTTCGTTACAATGCAACATTGTCACATTGTGTAAATTTTGATGTAAAGCTCCAACGATGTTGCATTGCAACAAAACATATATCAGCTTTGAATAATAATTAAAGTTGGACACAATTTTAGACTAGTGACCGAGGTTAACCTATAAAGTCACATAAGAATTCTTAAACTGAGTCTAATTTATCATGGATTATTACAGTAGTTAAATAATAAATATTGACAATAAGGGACCATCTTTACTCTCTGTCATGCATAAATAATTGGAAATTAATAAAAGAAAACAATAAATATTTTTTCACCTAATGACACTTATATTGTTGACTATTACATACCCTAGTGTTTATGTGCAAATAGTAATAAAAAAGGCTGAATCAACCCAGATCTGATTAGATTTGTAACTTAAATATCCCACCTAGTACTATCAGTAAGTCTTGGAATAAACATCAAACAGTTATATACGGTAGTTGATAATTTGATTTTTAATAATCAATAACTATGCTACTCAACTTACTTGTACGTTTTAATTATAGAAAATACTATGATGAAAGAACAACCATATACAAGTGAAAGTACCGTAGGTAAATAATTATCTTGTGCCATCTCTTAGTGTTTTTCTGACTTTTTATGCTTAACATTTTTTTAATGTTATTGGAGTTTAAATCTTACTTTATGTGGCCAATCACATAGACACATTTTTAGTAAAATTGTTTACCTTCTTCAGTTAAATTATACCATTGTAACTTATATTTAACTTATAGTGATTAAAACAATTTATTATATATTGGCCTTTTTGAATTTTTTAAATTAGCTATACATTTCATTATACCATTGTACATTAAATTCATTAATGTTTACACCAATATGTCAATGTATAGTATTTGTGCTTGGCCAAATGTACTTTCCACTTCCCTGCCTAGGTATACAATTTGGTTAATTTTTTCTCCTCGATTTTTTAATAGGGTTTTTACTCAAATTTTAATAGGAAATCTGTAGGGAAGATATTTGAACATAAATCGTTAATCAAACACTTAAATTAGATAAAAAACTTGTTTGAATTTTATGGAATGAACTCTTAAATATTTGTTAGCCTGATAAATTACTATACATAAATCATCTTACACATTAAAACAATATAAGTAGTTTGATTGGTGAGTAACTGGTTGTTTTCTCCAGGCATATTTTTGTACATTGTATAAATAGTGTTTTGTTTAATGTTTCTTAAATCTGAAATTACAATTACAATAAAGGCAACTGCATGGGGCGTTGCCCTATCATGCTTCTTTACAGATCTTTACAAAGGCCCAATTTGGCTACAAGTTTATTTATTTTTGGCAATATGGACATTTATTTTGCGAAAAGCGAAATAAAACTATCTAATGTACTGTCTGATAAAATATAGCACAAATGTAAAATAAGTAAATAAATCATGCAAATGAACTCAATAATGAGTTATAATATTACTAGTAATATACATGGTAACTGGTAACCCAACTACTCATATGAAACTTTTTGTATTAATTTGTGTTTTACTGCCCAATTTGTGCAATTGTCTTCCCAATTTGTATTAATTAAGAGCAAAAAGTGATATACATAATTCATATGTGTAAACATTCTATTTTAAGCTTGGACTAGTTTAAAACTAATTGTCATTAGATGTTTGCATTTTATTTATATAACATTTAGACATAAATTGTAAGCTCATTATTTATCCTTTACCAAAATACTGTATATTATCACATAATAAAATTAATTGTCTCTAAGATTTTCTCTATATATTTAGTTGTGTATCTTAATGGCTGTGTTCATGAAGTTTCTTCTAATTGTGCCTACTCTATATCAACAATACTATTTTTTTATATCTTTAATCATGCAAATACAGGAAATAGTAAATAAGAGCTTAGTCAATCTATTATATTGTGCATGTGTTGTGCCAAATTTGCTTCTTATGGTTGATATTGTAGCTTATCTGTTAGTCTTAGTAAACTAGTTTAATTTTTTAATAAAGTATTATAAATGAATAATATTCTTTTGGGGAAGTATTAGTTTTACTTCTAATACATCTAGTTTCAAAATAGTTAATTTATGTTCAATACCAATTACAATAGATTTAATTAACTGAGAAGATATCTGTGTAACAATTTGTGTGTAAGGATTTTAACTCATTGACGCCAGAATATTATTTTATTTCTCTAGTAATGAATTTTTATAGGTTATGTCCTTTAATGTCTTTTATCTACATATGTATATAAAATCCAATGTTTGTCTTTTATGCGTTACCAAACCGGCCATCCAATTGGGATGAAACTTTGAAAAGTTGTTCTATTAACTCCCGGGAAGGTTTCGGTCCTATTCCCGTTCTTTAACTCCCTTGGAGCTCTGCCCCAGTAACTCTGGAATTCCCCATGTTTACCTTATGTGAATTCATATTTTAGAAGAATTATGTATTTTGACTGCTGTTTCAAATAATAAACTAATAGGTTGAGTTCGATAATGTTCAATAGCGTTAAAAAGTTACAAGGTTTAACAACAGAGTGCAGAACAACATTTTTATTTGCTCTTTCCATTAAGTATTAATTGTTGAGCTTGCTTAAGCTGTCTTAATTTTAAGTCTTTTGCCAATTTTCTTATTCCATTTAATGGATAACATAGTTGAAAATTTTGAGAATGCTCTCTCGCATGAATAGCCACAGGTTTTTGTATATCAGGATGGTTTACATCA